TGATGCAGTTTAAACTCACATTAGAAAGACAATATGCATGTATCACATGACTGTAGTCATAATAAAACAAACACGCAGGCAGAAACACACACACCAAACTATACATCCAGTCTTTACCAAAGACTAGAACATCAGAGTTCTAAGTTTTGAAGAAAAACTCTTCAAAACAAATCTCTTGTAGACAACTTATTTTTGGTACCTCTTTTAAATATAAATGCTATCATAAGCCTACTGTATGTAAACATACCTGACAGCAGAAATGTACGCCTACTCTGAGAACAACTCTGAATGGCAGATGCACCAGAATGTGTTTGCTGAGCTGGGGAATCCAGGAGTGGCCAACCCAGAGAATCCTTTCTCGCCTACGAGTAACATCTGAGCCCCCAGCCCAGCCCGTGGAACACGGGGTATAAAGGGGATGGAGGCCTCCTTTTCAGGTAAGTGGAGGTTGCCGGGTGAAGACTGTTAGGAAAACAGTGCTACGTGAAACTGCTCTATGAACTGCCTGCCTTTCACAAATGGTTGTGGTTCTTGTGCCGAGTCTGCCTCCCCGGGGCTATGTAATTCTTCTGCCCAGCCTGCCGCCACTAGACTTTTCCCCTGTAGGTAAGCCCCCCAGTAAAACTCCATGTCTCATTTGCTGACTCTGAGTCTCTACTTTGGTCCCTTGATCCTGGTGTCATCCCCGTTGGAGTCCATAGGGGTTCAGCACAACACCTACTCCAAGACTTTTTTTACAGATACAGGGAAATCTTCTACTGGAATATTCCAGAGTAAAAATATAGTCGCCACTCAGACTGAAAACTTTTAGAGATCTGGCATGCAGCCTGGAATTAAGAGAATATATATATTTTTTAATAATAAAGACATTCAAATAACACTGTTTAGCCCAATGAGATACAATAATAACATAGTTAAATAGATAATTCAATCTATAATCTTGACAGATTGGGTAATTATAATGAATGTGAAACTTCAAAAGAAAAGCAAAACAGTTCTATATTAAAGATCTGAAAATTGACATGTACAGTATGAAAATTGGCATTTACTTATGCTGAAAGCAAAAAATGACAAGGCTTTTTAATAAAAACAAAAATAATGCAAGAGTAAAACTAACAGATTTAGTTCCCACAGCATATCACTTCAATAAATAAGTCATGTATGGATGCTGGAGGTATTTTAAAGGAGGTTATTGTTTCTAAATGTCAGTGTTTCCATAGTTTCTCAATATCATCTTCCGTATTAGAAACCAGAGTTTAAAGTTTCCATTATCTAAATATCCTGCCTCATTCCACATTCCTTCCCTACAAGCTTCTTTCTCTCTACCTCTCTCTGAAAATCAACGTTGGGCTCTTATTGGTAAATAAAATGTGGGTAATGGGCAAACAGGAAAATCAGGTAAAGCCAGATAAGCAAAGGAGGTTACATAATAATAAGCTGTGCTAGAGAATGGAAAGAATGGAGATAAGAGCTTGTGGACAACAAATTCAATCAAGAGGCTGAGGACCCTGCCATCAGGGAGGAGGTGCACCACTCACACCTGATAGGCATAGGCAGTGTATGGGCACTATTGCAGAGTGAAAAAAAATGAATTTTAAAGGCTTCTACCCATTTTTCTGGTTAGTTTTCATACTATAGTAATGCCTCCTTGAATTTGACACTGTTCAAGAGAAGGAGCATGTAGCAGTGGAGCTTTATACAGATTGCACACAGACATCATTTCTGGTATGGAATTTTTTTGTAACAAGAAATGGATAATCTCAGAAAGGAAGCTTAAAATATCCTCTAAAAGAGCAACCATTGTTAGCTGTCTTAAATTAGCATATGTACAAATTTTTTACTCTAACACCTCTAAGATAGTCTAGCCGAAAACAGTGTTGTTTATTGTATTATATCCACAAGAACACCATTTCATGTAAGCTTCAAGAAAATGAAAACATTAGTTTCTACAGAATGTGTGGAAACTAACTTGTAATGACAAAAGAATTCCTAAGAGGTTTTGAAGAAAGTAAAGGGAAAAATTTATCATCATAAAAGGCAAAGGCTTTAAAAAGAGGCCCAGGAGCCAATCAAAGCACCCTCTACTATGAATACCTTTGCTATCTTCATTGTAGAAATGGTTTCATGGATGTATGCCTTTGTCAAAACTTATCATATTGTACATTTTAAGTGCATACAGTTTATTATATGGCAGTCAACCTAAAAAACCCACAACAAACAAACAAAAAAATAAAACAACTATCCAGGCCGTAGATGCATGAAAACAAACAAGTGTCCATTTGCAATTCAGAAGGAATATCAGATTTCAAATGTGCCTGAAAACTTAGAAGATTTCACATTACCAAAACACATACACAAATATACTCTGTTCACAATAGATAAAATGTGGCACAATTAACATTGCAAACTAAAGTAATTATTTAAATTAGTATAATAGAAATGAATTTAGTGTTTAGGAGGAAGAAGAGGATGAGGAAGAAGAGGGCAGCATGGGGAACGAATGGTATTTGTGAGTGTAGACGGAGGATTGGTGTTTCCAGGTACTAAATATCCAGCTGTGAATTGATACAGTGGTAGGTTTGCAAGAAGAATTGGAAGAGACCATTCATTTCGCCTCTTAATTCATTAATTCAACAAGTGTTTAATGAGTACTACACATTGAAAATCAATGATTAGCAAAAGGGATATGGTCTGGTCTCTGCCTTCATGAATTTATAGTATGGCATGAAAGAATCACCTCACAAACAATTAATTATCCTGTGAAAAGTAACAAGGAAAGAACTCATTAAAAACGATGACAGCAGTGTCAGATAAAGTTTCCCTGAGAAGGTGTTCCTTGAGCTGGGGTGTGTAGAATGTGTGAAAGAGACAGCATATATAAAGGCCCTGGGGCAGAAAAACATTGTGCTTTTGAATAACTGAGACAGGAAGTGGTCCGTTAAACAGATATTTAGGAGGTAAGATCTAGGAAACTTTACAATAGACTGTTGGAAAAAACCCAAAGTAACGAGAATGTCACCAAGATTTATGCAACATGCAACTGAATAGATAACATTGCATTCTTCATGATAGAAAATGCAGGAGAGAGACCAAGCTTGGGAATAGGTATCTGTTCTGATTTCATGGCCTTTAGAACTTTCAGCTACAGTTGCTGAGTAGGACTACATGAAAATTTAAATATTTTCAGTGTCAAAGGACACAACAGAGTGAAAAGGCAACCTACAGAATGGGAGAAAATATTTTCAAATCACTGTCTGATAAGGTATTAATATCCAGAATATATAAAGAACTCCTATAACTCAACAGCAACGAAACCAAACAACTTGATTAAGAAATGGGCAAAAGACTGGAAACATTTCTCCAATAAAAATCGTCAAATGACTAAGAAGCACGTAAAAAGATGCTCGATATAACTAATCATTACGAAAATGTAAGGCAAATGTACAATGAGATAACACCTCACACCAATTATGATGATATGATCCACAAAATAAAACAAGGGTTAGTGAGGATTTGGAGACACTGGAACCCCTGTGCACCATTAGTAGGCATGCACTACTATAAAAATTGTGCTGCAGCCACTAGGAAAAACAGCATGCAGGTTCTGGAAAATTAAAAATATAATTACCATATGATCCAGCAATACCACTTCTGAGTCTATATCCAAAAGAACTGAAAGCTGGGTGTTAAAGGGGTATCTTTATCTCTATGTTCACAGCAGGATTATTCCCAGGAGCCAAAAAGTGGAGGCAACCTAAACATTCATGAATGAATGAATGTATAAACAAAATGTGGTATATACATACAATGGAATACTGAAACATGCTACAACATGTATGAACCTGGAAGACATTATGCTAGGTGAAATAAGACAGTCAAAAAAAGACTCATATGTATGATTCCATTTATATGAGGTATTTAGAGTAGTCAAATTTGTAGAAAAAGAAAATAGAATGGCGATTGCCAGAGGCTTCAGGGAGGAGGAGGATCTAGGGGGTAGTTTAACGGGTATAGAGTTTCCGTTTTGCAAGATGAAATAGTTACTGAGATTGGTTGCTCAACGATATGAATATAGTTAATACTACTGAACTGTACATTTACAAGTAGTTAAGATTTTTATTTTTTTTAGAGACGGAGTCTCGCTCTGTCGCCCAGGCTGGAATGCAGTGGCAAGATCTCAGTTGACTACAACCTCCACCTCCCAGGTTCTAGCAACTCTCCTGCCTCAGCCTCTGAAGTGCTGGAACTACAGGTGCATGCCACTATTTCTTGGCTATTTTTTTCTATTTTAGTAGTGACGGGGTTTTACCATGTTTTCCAGGCTGATCTCCCAACTCCTGAGCTCAGGCAATCCGCCCGCCTCGGCCTCCCAAAGTGCTAAGATTACAGGCGTGAGCCACCGCTCCTGGCCATAGTTAAGATTTTATGTTGTATATTTTACTACAAATAAAAATTTTAAAATGCCAAATAAACAGTATGATTGATTGATTGATTGGTTGATTGATATAGATAGTTGATTCATTAATGGGTGGCTAGCTAGCTGCATTTGTGAGGAAATCTGTGAAATAAAAACATGAATTTGGGACTCACAGAAAAATAAGAATAATTCTCCTTTAGTACTTTACATTCTTCTCCCCCTTCAACTATAAAATCGTGACTTTAAAATGACTCTACAAATGTTAGGTCTTCCCATCCATTCTCTCTAAAGCCTGAGTTTAATACAAAGTCTGTTTTGATTTGTGTTAGAAAGAACACAAGAAAAAACAACTTGAAGATTCTGAAGTTACAGCAGACATGGAGTGTTTGTAGCTGTACCATACCGCAACAATGAAAACATCTCTCTGTACCACGTCCAGCAACATTAAAAATGACAAATGTAGACAAAAAGGAACAAAACATAAGACTTCTTCTTTGAGTAAATATCCACTGATTCTAAAGAAAAGGCCATTGTTTGCACATCAGTATAGATCCCCCTTGAACAATAGTATCATTCTGCCTACCTTGTTTGCGCACGTCCTCTACAGCAGCCACCAATTCTTCTTTGAGATCTTGACTCTCCTTAGCGATCTGTTCACCCTTTTCCAGGAAGTTCTGAGTGGCTTGCTCTACAGAAGCAGCTAGTACGTGGGCTTTCTTTGATCTCCCTTTCTTTTTACCAGATGGGCCTTTGTTGCTTGTGTTGACAAGTGTAGTCACCTTAAGTATAAAAGAAAAACTATAAAACTTCTTTGCAAAACTGTCTTGAAATGTCATGTTATCTCATAATTTCTAAATCTCTCTGTTTATTAAATCATAGGGTTTCATTATCAAGTCATGAATGCACATCACTTAGCCTCATCACATAGCCTTATCAAGAAAAGTGTGGAATTATATGAAATTGCATACAAATAAATGGTTTTCATTGATTTCCTGTAGAAAAACAAACACACATGAATAAGCAGAAAGAGCATACTTGCCAGTAGCTCAAGGTTTCAAGTTCACTCACTTTTATAGACTGACAAGAACAGTGCCGCTTAGAGTACCCAGCCTCAGGGAGGCAAGAAAGCGAAGCAAATATGGAAGTACCTCTGACTACTGAGCTAGGAGAACCAAGATCCAGTGCTGAGCCCTGTAAGTCAGGGGAAAGATGAAAGAGCAATTAATAAATAATGAGTAGCCAACACCCAATACGTATGTATGATTTTCCAAGGACTTTTGAAGATCTTTGCTATTTAGAATTTTATCTTATATAAATAAAATGGCAAATTTTATGTGAGGGGATTAAATGATTCAGATTCAATGTTAACCAGCTAAAGTTTCTAGAATCATAATTAGATTTGAATCTATTATCGCTCTTTTTTCTAAGTATCATTTGGACACATATCTCAACTGCCAAACATTTTTAACTCTGTATCTCTAGCTATTTAATTTGCTAAAAAAGCTATAATATCTTTTAAGCAACTTGTTATCTACTGTAGACTTCTGAACCTTCATTTTCTACCACTGAGAAGTTTGCAGGGGAAATGAAAGCAACTGTTCCATATTCTGTTGAGCAAAACTTGCCAGTCATGTTTACTGCTGTATATTATCAGTTTCACAAGAATGTAGGTTCTGTGGTTTATTTTCATAGATATTTATCCTGGTTAGCAGACTAAGATGTTATTGGAGGTTATTAAGAAAGCCAGTCTACCAGAGAGTTTCAAATGCAGTTGACTTCTGATGTTTACTCCAAATCCCAGAGCAATCAAAGCGATTACTCAAAGTCACGATTAATATCCAGTCAGTTTATCGAGAAAGAGATAACACTGAAAGAAAAAATAAAGGATTGAATAAATGTAAACTAAGATGAAGTATATAGGAAGAACCAATACTTAAGAGGTGATTAGTGCAGTGTTGGAAGCTGTCATATTCGGCCCTCTTTTGATTGCTAAATAATTGGGTACAGTGAATTTAAGGAAGATTCTATAAGGCCATTTAAGTACAAATGGTACCCTAAAAATGGCAAAATCATTAAAAATAAGAATATCAGATAATGGTGGTTTAGCTGTAAAATGTATATGCAATGAGAAACACATTGTCATCTTTTCAGTGCTACCCATATGAGGCAACCATTAAAAAAAAACCTTGTCACAAAGATTGCTTTTCTGAGGTGCAGGAGTGTTCTCCTTCATGAAGATTTACTCTAACACATAAACACACTACTCTTCCAAGAACCTCAACTCCCCAGTACAGCCAATCCCTATAAACAAGCCCATAAATCCCCTAAGCAAACACAGCAACCTTCTCTACCATCTGCATTTAGGCCAGGCTCCTTTTATCAGAGGAAAAAACTCCTTATTCGCACTGAGATCTGATTTATTCTCATTTTATACACAATTCTAAGATGCTTCATTATCTATTTTTTAGACTTCATAAATTAGGAAAAAATAGGAGGGAGAGAGCTATTAGTTTTAGATAAATTGACACTTTTAAGAAGTAGAAGCTGGTAGTGACTCTACCAAAATTGCTATATTGCTAGTGACTCTACCAAAATATACATTGTGGACTCATTTCCTGAAGGTCCCAACACATTTCTAGGCTTCTATATGTCATGGTGTGTTACTGCATTAGGTACAGTTTAGGTGACACAAATAATAGCAAGCCAGTAGAAAATGTCAGTATTGTGGAAAACAAAAACTAAAATGCAAACAAACAAGAACACATGGAACATTACCGGAAAGTTCCTAAGAAAAATGTAATTACTTTCAAAAGAAGCAAATCAGTCCTCCTTTAGTAAAAGCTCTCATGTACTCATAGGTAGAAGAGAACAAAGGGAAGAAAGGGAAAAGAGACGAATAGAAAGAACGGGATGGGCTTCCATAAAGGCTCAGGTCTTAATCGGTTTAGAATAAATAAGTGTCAATGCCTTTCACTGCTATTCAGTGTTTTATTGAAGGACAAATTAATAAATTAGATGAGAAAAATAAAGAAGATATATAAGCATTAGAAAGGTAGGCATTAAGTTACATCATAACTTAAAGAGAATATAACTCTTAAGGAAATGGAAAAGAATTAAAAGACAAGTCAAACTACTACAAGAGCAAAGAGCAAGGTGGCTAAATATGACATAAATGATGAAACCTAATGAAAGAGCAGTAACAAAGAACAGAAATGTGGTTTTAAATATCACATCATAATCAGCGCACATTCATATGATCAGAAATGACCATAACATAACATGTAGAATGTTGCATGGGGGAAAATGATAACATTTTAGTGAAGAACATAAAAGAAGACCTACATTGTATAGTGGCAAAGTCCAGAATAAGCCAGTTCTTACAAGACTGCCAACAAGCTGCATTAGACACTTAAAAAGACTATGAGTGCTGTCTACCAAGACCTAGTGTCAGTCTGGATATCAGACCTTATACCAGATACCTGCAGTTCCAGCAACCGGGCCACCATGTGGCTCCTTTGTGGGAGAGACATCCCACATTCTTGGATGGGAAGACTCAGGGAAAAGGGGAGGGCCAGTGGGAGGGGGAGTTGGGGAGGGATAGCCTGGGGAGAAATGCCAAATATGGGTGAAGGGGAGAAGGAAAGCAAAGCACACTGCCATGTGTGTACCTACACAACTGTCTTGCACGCTCTGCTCATGTACCCCAAAACCTAAAATCCAATAAAAAATTAAAAAAAAAAAAAGATTGAAAAGATGTCATTTCTGCCCAGTTTATTCTACAATTAGCATTCTAGATATTTACATAGTAAATAAGCAAGACAGCCTCTCACTCCGTTCAGTCCTCTTTTTACTGTAAACTTAAAATATCCTCTCATTCAGTTCGGTTCTCTTTTTTACCGTAACTTAATAAACTTTTCAGTAAATCAGAGAAACATTTAAGATTAGCATATGCAGGACTCTTGCTGTTTACTCTCTGGCCGGTATACCAAATGTTTGAATGAAAGTAGCAAAAGTAGTTTAGATGCATTAGCAGGTGAGAAAGTTGGGTCTGTCCTTTTAGGATTAAACTAACCAGTCTAGGGAATTCTCAGCCTAGCTCTTGCTATGCAAATTCATTGATTTCATCCCACTCCTACCTTCCTCCTGAGCTGCCGGGCACATTCTCTTTCCAGTCTATAATGGTGTGTGACACTCTATACTAATGCACATTTTCCTTTTCTCCCACTTGAAGTGTCATTTTCCCCATCATGTTATAGGCTTTTATTCATCTTGAGCTGTGCCTATATTTACACCTAAAATTCTGAAAGTTCAGAGTCATCTACTTCGATTCTATCTTGTTATTTTACAGGTAGGGAAATCCAGCTTAGAGAAGTTACCAAAGGTAAAAAAAATAACTTCTTCAAATTCACATAACTCAAGAGAAGCAAAAAGCTAAATGATTCTTGAGCTCTGCTTTATCTTTGAAACTTGAGAACTCACCAGTATCCTCTTGTTTTTCTGTCTAACAATGAGAGGCTGCTGTATTTATTCTCTACATTTGTCTCTCTACATTTATTTGTGTTCTATTGGTTGCCTTTTCATTGAAAGGCATCGTGTATATATATTAATGTATATTTATCAATGTTAGTGAAATGTTAACCAACTATTTTATCGTATCTTCTGCAATGTCCTGTAATATCTGATGTAGTCAAGAGTCTCAGACTTTAAAATACATATTAGGGCTTTTTGAGTCAGCTGAGAGTAAAAGAAGGACAAAAGTATTTCAAAATCTTATAACTAACCAAATAGTAGATCTTAGGGTTCCTATGTAAACAATGCTCTTCTATGGGTAATTCAAAGAATAATAAGGAAATTGGTGCTTATAAAAGAAAAAGATCATGTCCTTTGCAGGATCATGGATGGAGCTGAAGGACATTATCTTTAGCAAACCAGTGAAAGAACAGAAAACCAAACACTGCATGTTCTCACTTACAAGTGAGAGCTAAATGATGAGAATACCTGCACACATAGAGGGGAACAACACTAGAGCCTATCAGAGGGTGGAGGTCAGGAGGAGGAAGAGAATCAGAAAAAATAACTAATAAGTATTAGGCTTAATACCTGGGTGACAAAATAATCTGTACCACAAACCTCCTTGACACAAGTTTACCTATATAACAAATGTGCACATGTACCTGTGAACCTAAAATAAAAATTAAATTAAAAAAAGAAATTTATTGCTCAGTCATGAAGAGCCAAGATATACTAAAGATCAGGAATCAAATATTTTTAGTGAAGAAAATGACAGTATCAGAATTATGCATTCTAATTAATGGTGCAGTAGGCTTCTGGGTACAAATGTAGCTGCATCCATAACTGGATGCCTTAGAGAAGTCAGACCAGCAGGAACATATTTTGATCAAAAGATGGGAGCCACAAGGTGGCCCAATTGCTGGAATTGGAGGTATCTATGTGTAAGTCCTGATATCCAGACTGACACTAGGTCTTGGTAGACAGCACTCATGGACTTTTTAAGTGACTAATTTGCTTGCTGGCAGTCTTTTAAGAAATGGCTTATTCTGGACTTCACCACTATACAATATATCCATATAACAAAACTGCGCTTGTACCCCCTAAATCTGTATTTTAAAAAAGGCAAACGTCAGCATGCTTTCTTAAACATTCATCATAAGCTGTTTTCTTTAAGGGAATGAAAGAGCTTGACAGAGAAACACTTCTGTAAGCATACATCGAGAATATGTTACTAGAACATGGGCCCTATGAGGACAAGTAGAGAAAT